TTTAAGAATCATGCAATTAAATAATTTCACATTCATTGTAAAGGAGCACATCAAAATTTCTGACAAGAAAAGACACTTCAACTTGAAAAGACTTACAGCATCTGTAAGGTCAAAGAAGAACATCAGGCAGTCCAGAGTGGCTGTGACTATTGCACTACTACCAGCAAGCCCCTGCAATGAAGATTAAATACTAAAATAGTAAGAAGAGAAAATTACAGTATGAATATAAATATATTACATAATAAAACAACAGGTCAGATGCCATGGACACTGGGATCAGCTAACGTATTGCTTACAAGCAAAGGTTTACATTTTGAAATGCTGCATTCAACTGACTGAAGATTGAAAAATGGAGGGTTTTACCTGGATCAGTTTAGGTTGCTAGTTACAAGATGTTTTTAAAGAATTTGATTGTTGATATATAATATTACTTCTTACCACTTGCCGTGGAATGTTTGTGTCATACTTCAGAGTGAAGTTTCTCTTTGCCAGTGCAATCCTGAAAAAAAATTACACAATATTGCAAATGCATTCAATGTAATAACCATTTCAGCATGCCAATACATACCCTAAGGGGCTGGCAGGATTACTTATTATTTGATTTTCCAAAGGTTCTAATTCATTTGAAAGAATTTTTTCTGTATTGTTCCTGTTTGACTGGGCCTGACATGTCATTCCCGGGAAGGGGGGAAGGGGGGGGAAGGAGAGAGACCCCCTTTCACAAGCCCCAATGTAGCAACCTCAGCACAAGGACTATGTTGAGGTGACTCTCTTCTGTTACTGACAGTAATAACCAGGGTATTAAGTTGTCAAGCTTTCAAAATGGATTTGTACAAAACAAAAAATGTTCATCTCAATGTGAAAAAGGCCTCACAAAACTACAGAGAGAAATCTCACCCTCTTACTGAGCAATACTGGTAAAACTTCTTACATGTTGCCTGCAGCAGTCTGAGACCACCTAAGTACCTGAATTTAAAAGAGATGTTTGTCTCGGATTACAAAATATCAAAATATGTTATCTCACAATCTTACATATTACAACATCATGATATGTTTGTGGTTGCTGATATTTTTATTTCTATAATGTTATTTGATCTAGCATTCCTTAGATAAATTGTGATAATGGTTTGATATGTAGCCTCCAGTATTGTTACGACACTGATAATTTTCTGTTACAAATTTTCTTTTACTAGCCATGTGCATTGCACATAAAATGAAATCTTGGAACAACTTCATTAAAATTATCACAAATTTTCTATTCATGTTGGCCAAAATATGCTGTTGACAAACATTTTAAGTCCCTCATGATCATTTAATTTAACACATACCCTTCTTTTCTACTTATCCCATAAAGATCTGCCAAACTACCAAACTCTGTAGGGTCATTCAAGGGGTGAGGTAATAGCACAAGATGGTCACTTTCCGTGATGGTCACCTCTGCCCAGAAGTTCTTAATAGACATTGAAATTGTCTTTCCATAATAGCCATCTGATGGGTTTCCAAACAAACCTACCCTGAGAAAGAAATGGCTTTGATTAAAAAATAAAAGATAAAAGGAAAATAGATTAAGCCACTGAGAAAAAAAAACTGTGCAATGTCTTTTCACTTAAGAGAAAGAACTCAAAACAATTATTCAATTAACAAATATGATAAATATTTGGACGTTATTTTAATATCTGAATTAAGGTATAACCACACAGCTGACCTGAGAGCACACTTAGTTATACCTGGCATATGCCCGTTTGGTTGTTTCCTTCTTTTTCTTTTCAGCCGACTGCCTGTTTGCAAATACACCAAGCCAATCCTTGTAATCTTTTAATCCCTAGACAGATAAAAAATAACTCTCTGCACCATTATCAGCTCAATGTTTTCTGGCCTATTAAGGATGAATGTTTTTTCCAGTACACAGGCTAATAAATTATCTCACATACAATTATCATAGTTTGAAATAAAGAAACAAAATGGAAACCTAGTTAACACTTACCACTTGACCAATCAGCTGAAAACCAGTGGGCAATTTCAGGCCATATACTTTTGTCTTCTTGCTGTCTATTATCCATTGCTGAAAAAATGTCACAGAATCAGAAATGAAATGGCAGAATTTACAAGTTGTGCCAAATTATGTTCTCTATAACCTCACACACAAATAATTTAATTTCTTCAGGATAAGATTTTATTTATAATCATTTTCAAAATCATTTTTCTTTTTTTAAATATGCCATGAAGCAGTCATTGCAATGGTTTCATAAAATAATAAAAGAATATTATCTTAGACTAAGAAATTCAAGAATGCCATAAAAAACTACACCATAAAGCCAAAAACACTCAGACTTTACCATGAAATGACCAAAATTTCTTTGCTCTACTTCTGGATATAAAACCAAATATTCCTGCACCAGGGGTAAGGTTTCCTTCCTGAGACAGTAGAAGACCACACTGGCACACCTGGACTCTGTTTCATGGGGCAGTGGCTTCTCAAGGAAACGTGTAATACTAAAGAATTAAAAAATTTGAATTGAGCTCATAAAAAAAATCAGCACCACAAACTGTTCAATCCATCTGAAAATGTAAACACTTTTTTAGTCATGGTTTGTGCTAACAATGATATATCTACCCTTACATACATCTAAAAATATAAGATACAGCACAGAATAACGAGTTCATGTTATATTCATCACCACTTTAAAACTTAACACCCATTAAATTAACAATTCTTAAATGTTCATAATTTCACCCCAACACAAAAATACATCTTTATAATACACAGTCTGTACCTAAAACATTTTAACATACTGGCCCCATGGACCAAAGGGTCCAATTATCTACTGGCCCAAT